CAATCAAAAATCTCAACTTAACTCAATTTTCTAAAATATCTCTTATTACATTTTTTTTTTCTGAACTAAGTTACCTCAAACTCTACTCTCTGAACTCTCAAAACTAAAGTTTCAATAGAAAATTATTAACCATACCTTTTCCTCTTAACTAATTATTCAAGCATATAACAGAATGCTTTTATTTCTACTACTATACCCAATTTGATGTTAGTTCTCAACTACTTAGAACTTTCAAGTTACTTAGTAGCACACATATTTTCTTCATAACTAGGCTTGCCAAGATAGTTATTGTTACTTTATTCACCTATTTTTACCTTTATTATACTACTACTTGGATATTTCCTATTACTTCTGTTACAACTAGATTTGTATATTAGTAGAGACCACTTGTTTTATCTTATTTGAATTATATTACTTGTTTAGTTAGTAATATTCTGTTAGTTTAAGTCCTCTGTTTTAGGACTTTGCATTGCTATACCTTTTCCTACTATATATCATTATTGTATGTTTTTCTTAGACAGGATATTATTTTTATGTTTCATAAATACAATCTTTTATATTTAAAGAGCCTACAATCACTTAAGAATTTAATCTCTCAAGCTTCATGAGAACACTCTTCTTTATATACTACAACTTAAATGGCTACATTATCCTTTTCTCAACTTTACTATCTACTTAGAAGAATGTTTATAAACCCTTCACATTCTATAATAATAGTATTTAAGAATCTCTTAGAGATTCTAAACATACTTATGAATAGGTTACAAAGAAATATCCATAATTCTAGTTAACAGGACAACTTAAACCATTGATTAGATATTAGAAAATAGTTTTCTTTTTTAAAAGAATGGTAGTGAACTTGGAAAAATATCTAGTAAATAGGCCTACCACCTGACCCCAAATATGTATACACAATTACAGCTTGACAAATTACTACAAAGTAAGAAGAAAAAGAGTATTGTATTAGATCCTAATAGAATATTTCCTAATACTAAATCTATCAAAATCTCACTTACTCGAGAAAGTTGAATGAGAAAGGGTAATAGTACAGTCATGTCCAGAAAGTTTTTGTGCCCTTGCATGGCAACCACTCAACCACAACCCCCAACTATAAAAATTTCCAAAAAAATTTAAAGAATTCAATTAAAGAAAACATGATAGTATTACTAGTAGACAATAAAAAAACATTATTACCATTTTGTATGGCCTCTATTTCCATCCAGTACAGCTTGCATTCTCTCAGGCATCCTATATATCCATCCATCCAACTTCTCTTGGGGAATTAAATCCCACTCTTCCTTTGCTGCCTCAAACAATTTAGCTGCACTATGAGGCCTTCTTTCCAGTCTGGAGAATCGCTTGGTAAGAGCTTTTTTGAGTAGTGCCTATGTGTTCTCAATAGGATTGAGATCTGGTAAGTTGAGTGGCCAAGGGAGTTTTTTGTAACCACAGTCTGCTTCCAATTTTCAATTTTCCTCACCACCATGCCAGGAAGCATTGTTTGCAGCAAGGTAGATATTATCAGAAGGTCTATCCAGACCCACTATAAAAGAGATAAGGTAAGGCTGGTAGATTTCAGTTGCATATTGGTGAGAGTTTAGGCCAAGTCTGTCTCTTTTGCTTGTTCTTTCCTCCTCCCTCCTCTTTCTTACAAGAATTAACTCAGTCTTTTCTCCCTTCATCATTACAGTATATACTTCAATGCTAGTCCTTCCAGACTTAAAGCTAGGTTTTCAGTTTTTTTCTTCCAGCTCTTTACCAGGTCTAACTCTGACCTTTCTGCCTGTTGGATTTGGATTGCCCCTTTTCAGTTCCTCCTTCTCCTAGCAAGCTCCCTTCTTTTCTCCTTTTGTTCTTTTCTCTGAAAAGGCTTTTTCCTAAGTATCAGAAGCTTAAAACCAGCTTCTGATATGATTTTATCAATAGTGGTTTTACCAAGACCAATATTCGCTTTTTTGGTTATGTCACGTAACACTAAATGAGACTTAGCATTGATAACTGACTCCACTGTCTTTCTTTTTATGTTGGTAATCTTGGTTGGTCTTCCACCTCTTTTTGCATGGTGAGTGTTTCCACCCCTAGATTTACCTCTTTTGACCACAAACTGAACAGTTGACTTGAATATACCTAAAGACTTAGAAATTTTGTCATATCCCATATCTGTATATTTATACAAAGTACAAATTTCCTTATTCAGGTCTTCTCTTGCGCTTAGGTTATGTGGAGGGGCCATGGTGAGGAGGGTTATTGTGGTGATGAGGTGTTGCGGAGTTGCACCTCAGGGCTACAAAAACTTTCCAGACACAACTATACATGAGGTGAAAGTGAGAGTTACTGAAAAGAAGATACTGGCTAAGGATAAAGAATCTATAACTGAGGAGGAATTATAAAGAACATCTAAATATCATACTTGAAAAATAATGCAAATTGGAATATGTGTGTTTGAATTGACGCTGTGGATTGAAAATACTATTGTCTTTACCAGTGGTCAAGCCTTTATAAAGGTGTCAAGGTGGCCGAAAGCTATAGGGGGGCCTAAAACCCTGTACTCGAGCCTATGTGACAGGTTTGCCCTACCCGAGTAGGACATGCCCCCCGTGTTCTTCCACCAATGGGAAAGATGTGAAAATTACAGTCTTGGACGGAGCATGAGAAAACCCGGCGGACGGCAAATAGGGAGTATTTGACAGGCAAAAAGAGAATTCATCAAAGCATCAGTAAGGTAATAAGTACATATTGTCACTCCCTCCCTGTTCCTCGCCAACCTGTTTCCCTCGGGCCCGCTTAAAAACCCTCTCTGAAAGTGGGACTCGAAGGTTAGCTTTGAAACCTTACCCACCAGGCTGAGAATTTGCAACAAAACCCCTCCCATCCTCAGCTCCCGGAAACCTCATAAAAGACCTCCACTTTGGAATCCCTCCTCCCTACCATTCCAGCATTCAAGCACAGAAAATGTCTAGATGCCACTGCAATAATTCCACTTGTTTTCATGTATCCTTTAACGTTATATTTGCCGGTAATGGGTTAAACCCCCGTGGGCGGCATGAGAACATCCAAACCAACATTGCAGGTCCAGAGCTAGTACGAAGCATCATACCCGCCGATGAAAGCTGTCCCAGCTGCTTTGAGCAGCGCTGCCAGCACTGCCAGTAAGCGCACAAGCTCCCATCTCTCACTCCTTCCCCAACACTTGTAATCGTGAGCTAACCACCTACCACTCTATCGACCTGGCAGCGCCCGTAGACACCCATGCCAAATCCCCATCGCCAATATGTCACCAGAAGAAGCCTTCCTCGGCCGATTTCCTGTTGTCACCTCCAGCCCCGCCTTATGCAACTATCAAAAGAACCAAGCCAGCGGCCACACCTGCCACGACCACAGTTTTCAGCTCCATTCAGCCGGACAGGGACAGCAGACAGCTAGTGATCGCCAGGGCCAGGAGCACCCAAACACCGGTGGTTGGGAGCCCCTCCCTCCCCGTCCACTAGGATACGTAGCCGACCACTCATGCCAGTGCCACCACACACATGATACCCGGGCGATAAACTTCGAAAGGGAGACAGATTTGGTGCTGCACATGGAGACTTCAAGAGGGCCTGACGTCCCGAGGGTACCGGCCTGTCAGCACGGCTATAACCATCCTGGGAGATCCTCGCGGGTGGTTATAACTTTAGAGCCCACTTCCTGGAAGATCTGGATGCATTAATGGTAGAGTGGATGGCTAAAGAAAACGGTGGTTCCTTAGTGAGGCGGGGTAGCTGCATGGTAAAGAAACGGTCCAAGAGGACGATACAGCACGATAACCAAGGTGGTGTGAAACAGGGGTCTGTGGTGTTGGGTAGAGGGAAGTGGAGGTACTGGCCCGCCTTTCTGGTCTGGGTGCAGAGGGAGGGCGTTGCCTCCGGGTACGGATTCGTCCTAGAATCGTTTTTTTCGCGTATTATTTTAGCTCTCCCTTTTTCCTCTCAGGACAATTTTTTCTCCAATAAATGAGAGCTAGGCAAATATCATATGATACATCGGTTCTCGTGGTACACTAGGCGGAGTGTAGGGATGGCACCACAGTGTAACTCTATTATATGACATAACTGCACCAATCCTCACTCGGCTCCAAGCTCCCATGATATGATACACCCTCGTATCCACACACCGACACTCACAACCTAACTTACAAGTCCACAATGTCACGCACGCAACCCTTCCCCCCCCGCCACGGTCCCCTCCACACCTCATGACATCCCGTCCAAACCCACCCCCCAACCAACTCCAGTACCATACCCCAAACCACAGCCCCCCCTTCTCTTTCCATTCTCCCTATGATACCAGTTAACAGCTGTCCCGCTCCCAGCTGATTCGAACAAACCAGCACTCACCGAAACCGTATGATAACCCATGGTTCCAGGCGGCGAATTTTAGCTCGCCAGACATGGGTTTTACCGAGCTCGAGAGGGGAGGGAGGGTTAGTCGACGTACGACACTGAGGTTTCCCAGGCTCCTATCATTTCGGGTTGAAGCGAATTAATCTACAACCTCGATTCCGTCGTCGTTTGTGGGGGGGGGTATTGCTTTGATAGTCTGGACTAATCAAGCAGTCCACTCACTCGCAACGTGGAACTCTACCGTTGCAGTCTAATTCAATTGGACTACGCTTGTGGTAACTCTCGGATCGCCTTCCTCCCCACCGCCAGCCCGGGAATACAAGGTGTCTTATCATACATATTGCCAGTTCGCCGACGAGAGTATAAAAAAAGAGATAAGAAAACCAAGGGAAAGAATCATAGGATAGAATGGGGTAGAAGATAAGAGTAGGTAAAAAAAATCAAGACAAGATGAAATTAATGGTATTCCGAGAACACCTACTTAATAAACACCGCCTTAACCAAGAATCTAACTAACTGCCTTCAGCGTCGCAAGCAAGCAAAGCAGGCCTAAGCAAACATCTTTTCAACCTCTGGATCCTTTTGGTATTTTCTCAAATCAATCCTGCCCACCGGACCAAATTAGCGCACACACCCGCAACGGAGAACGTTAGGATGAACATACGTAAGACTCTTTGAACTGCACTCCACCTGATCCCTAAAAATCCCGACAAGCGTCTCACTACGCTGAAATAAGCCGGTCTTCAAACTGATAACGATAAACTGGAACCCGGGTCCAGCGTGACTGCGAATATAATTTGAAATCTTTTGCACATTGGCATTATCCAGCGCAGCATCCACCTCATCCAAGACAAAGAAGGGAGACGGCTGGAACGAATGCACAGCAAATAGCAAAGCAAGTGCCGCCATTGTCTTCTCCCCACCGGAGAGGTGCTCCATGTCTCTGAATCGCTTCATAGGTGGCATGGCATGATACTTTATCCCGTCGAGGTAGGGCTCGTCGTTGTCCTCCGCGTCGAGATATGCGTTCCCACCCAGGGGGAAAATGGAGGACTTGGTTAGGTCCTTGTACACGCCCGCAATCTGGGAGGAGATGTGTTCGAGAGCTTTGTTGAAGAGTCGGGAGCGCTTGTCCTTCACGGCTTGGAAGCGGTCTTTGGCTTTTTTCGCCTCGCGACGGGAATTGTCAAAGTCTTTGTCAGTCTCGTGCAGGCGGGATTCAACGCCCTCCAGGCGCTCGATGGCCTTCATATTGGGCGCCATGCGGTCGAGCTCGGCACTGAGGGTTTTGATCTTGTCCAGGAGTTCCTCTTCCACTCTCTCGTCACCACTCTAAGACCGGATTTAGTTAGCCAATTTTCGGCGAGTGATAATCTGTGATGTACGTACCTCTTTGAGATCGTCGTCGAGATCTTCAAAGTCCACCTCGATGCCATAATCCTGTATCTGAACCTTCTGGACAGCACTAGAGCTAGGATCCTCGTCCTCGTCCACGTCCATTGCATCGGGGTCGGTTTGCAGAGTATCATCGATGGGCAAATCATCCAGTGGTGCAGAATCCTCAGTCAGTGGTATTTCAATCTCCTCCAGTTTACACCTTCTAAGGACAGCGTATCGACCCGCAGAATCTCTTTCGATTTCCCCTTCCAAACCAGAAATCAGCTTTGTAGTGTCCTCGACGTCTTTACTTCGCTTGGAGACTTCCCTCCGCAGTCCATTGACCTTCTCGCTCCGGGTCTCGAGCTCAGTTCTTCTCGACCCCAACTCCTCACGCAAGAGTTCAACCTCGGCCATCACAACATCCATTTGTTCCTGGATCTGCGCCTTTTCGGCTTCAAGTTCTTCCACCGTGATTCTGTCTCTTTCGGCATTCTTCTCAAGATTGCCTATTCTCTCGGTGGTCTGCTTTAGTCGCTGGGATTCGAAAGCCAGTTGATTATCTAACTTTGAGATTTGTGTGGTAAACTCAAGTTTTTTCTGCGCGACTTCCTGTTGTAGAGATCCTTGGCGTTTCTCGTACTCTCGGATGTTGGGATAGTTCAGGCGGGTGGTAAACTCTGAGAAGATCTCATCTTCCGCCCCAGAAACAACTACTTCAAGTTCCTCAACCTTAGCACGGATATTATTTAGCGACGTGGTGGCCTCATCAAGCTGCGGTTGGAGTTCCTTCAATTGACGTTGAAGATGAGCAGCCTCCTTTTTCTTACTATCAAGACTCCGCTGCAAGAGCTTCTATAATCGAACAAATTAGAACCGCCCCACCCTAAATCTAGATGGAAAGCATACCAATTCATCCCGATTATAAGCAAGCTTCTGCTCCAGCCCATACAGCTCCCCCTGCAGCGTCTCCTCCTGCGCACCCCGCCGATTCTTGGGAAGAGCATTAAGTTGTGCAATCAAATTATCCTTCAATCTACGCAAATTCTCCACCTCCTGGTCCTCCCACCGTCTCCCGCCCGAGTTCCCAGTCCGTCCACCAGTCATTAAACCACCCTTGTGAATAACCGTCCCATCCAGCGTAACAGCCTTAACTTCAAGACCCTTATCGTAGCAGATATACTTCGCCACCGCGAGATCGTCGCAGACAACCGCGTTGCCACAAGCATACTGCATAGCCCTCTCCACGGAGTTATCAAATTCAATGGTATCAATCGCCATTCGCATGCCCCTGTGCATGCCTTTCAAGTTGGAATTCAAAGGCTTTACCTGGATTGTGTCAAGGGGGATGAACGTTGCTTGACCGGCTCGTTGATCTCGGAGGTACTCGATGGAGTCTTTGGCGGTCTTCTCGTTATCGACGACAACCGCGTCAAAGTGTCTCCCGAGGACAGTGCTCACAGCCTCGCCGTATTTTTTCATTCGTGGCTTACACAGTTCGGATATACGTCCCTTGACGCCGGGAAATATACGCCTTAGAGCTGAAATGGTCTCCTTCATCCTGATTTCACGCTCAGATTGCCTACGGCCGTCATCAGCTTCGAGAAGTTTGTTGAGACAGTCCTGGAGCTTCTCGTCGAGTTCGGTATGCTTCTGGGCATTCCTCAGCCTTTCTGAAGTCATAGCGTTGTACTCCCGCTTCTTAGCCTCGATGTCTTGGACGACCTGGTCGACGACGGATTTCATCTGCTCTTTGCGTTCCTGCAGATCTTCGACTTCACTTTCGATTTTGCTAAGCTGCCATTGTGATGATTCAACCTTGCTACTCAAGCTATTGACCGTCTCGATATCAGTCTTTTGCTGGCGATTGTAGTTGTCAATCTTAATCTGCTCTCCAGCGATCTTTGTATTAACCCGTTCACGGAGTTTGTTGTATTCTGCCAAATCAGCGTCAGATAGCGCCATCCCGGTTTCTTCAGCAATCTTCCGTTGCTCCTCCGCAAATTTGGCCTGCGCCTTTTTGACAACTGCTAGTTCCTTCTGCAAGCCCGACACCGCGGATGTCTGGCTATCCTGGTCCCTCGTGATATCCCTAATCCTGGACTCATACTTCTTCAAGTTCTTCCCAGCAATACTAATCTTCTCATCGATAGGAACAAGCGAAGATTCCTTCTCCTCTACCTCTTTCTCCCTTCGCTTGATAGCACGCTCCTGCTTGCTCACGCCTCTATTCGCCAGAGCCTGCTCCCTCTTCGCCTCCTCAAGCTTCCCATAATACTTCTCGTGGGCGCGGCGAAATTCCTTAAGCTCCTCCTGATGGCGTTCAATCTCCTGTTTATTGAGCTCCACACTTCGTTGAAAATGGAACAGCTTCCATAGGATATGAGTTACCACCGCCTCATGCTTCTCATCCTGCTTCGCCTGATAGTTCTCTGCCTCCTTCTTCTGCTCCTGGTACTGCTTGATTTCGGCATTAATCCCGCGACGACGATTAAGGTTAAAGTTTGATGTTTCCGCAGCCTTCTCCTGTTCCATCTTGAGGCGCTCATACTCAGCCTTGAATTCCAACGAGCCGCTAATCTGCTCGATAAGCCTGGTGAGATCCTTCGGAGATTGACTGGCAATTGCTTCGACATCGCCCTGAAAATCACCCAGTCAACCCGGTCCCCACTTAGAGGGTAGACAGAAGACAGACCTGAAAAACCAAAAAATTCCTCGCCTTGATCAAGATATTCTCCTCCTCTAGCGCATCGTTGTACTGCACAGCCGTGACCTGCTTGTTATTAATCCTATATTCGCTCGCACCGGCACTAGTAATCGCCCTTTTCCAAAGCTGCTCCTCCCCATCATCGTTCAAATAAACTGCCATAACCCAGGCAGTCTTGGGATCACTCTGGGTAGCTCCACCTTCCTCCTCCTCCTCCTCCTCCCCCGCCTCCTCCACCTCTTCGGTAACCGGCTTCTTCGGGCCCGAAGTCTTGAGCACGCGCCCACGGTAAATTAAATCCCTCAGATGAGCAGAACGTAATTGGGAAGATTTGATGCCCAGGACGAACGAGATCGCGTCCATGCAATTTGACTTTCCGGAACCATTTGGCCCAATGATGGATGTGAAGTAGGAGTCGCCAAAGTAGATTGTTTGATGGCCCTTGTAGGACTTGAAATTGAAGAGCTCTAGGCGCACGAGCTTCCTGGTATCGTAGCGCCCCATCGCATCGGATTAGTAAATTATCATCCCCGGAGGGGATCGAGCAGGAGGGAGGGTAGCATACCCCATCTTCACGACCCGATGAGCGGAATTCGCTCAGAAAGAGGGTACGTATAATCAGCGAACGGATGAAATAGAAAGGAAAGTAATGCGAGTGTATGAAGGAAGAGAGATGTATGTTTGTGTGTTGGCTGAGAAAAAAGGTTGAAGAGTGTGGAGACGCGTTGATTTTGTTTCCGTGTACGATACTGGTAAACGCGACAATGGAAACCTGGCATGTGGCGGATTGAGGGATGGTTAGGTAAGCAGTTGCAAGGTGATATCATACAGGTACAGTAACTTACTCGTACGAAGGGGGTAGGGGAAAGTCTGGTGAACGTGGCAGTGCATGTGGCGGTGCACCATTATACTTCCCCGCCCATTTTCAAGTGGGGGTCTCACCGAATAGCTCCTGTAATCCCTCAGTTGAAGGCTGCCATGACTTTGTGATACATCAGGTGTTATGAAGAACTTGTAGACGCGCATATACCAGCATATAAGTTTAATAGAATCATGTTGTCTGAGTCCCCTGTCAACCACCGGTATCACAAGTCGGTATGTGACTAGTAATGTGTAGCTCTACCACCTGCATTGATTACTGCTTGCAGCCGGTCTGGCATGCTCCTAACAAGCCCCTCTAATAAATCCACTGTTACTGAATCCTAGACAACTACCAAAGCCACCTCTAGTGGCTCTAATTCCTGAATCTGTCCCCATTGCTCTCTCAATTCACACTCCATCCATCCCTAAACCTTTTCTATCAGATTCAGATCTGGAGACTGGGGAGGCCAATCCATTATCCGGTCAACTCCATTCCTTTCTCGGCATCTAAGTACGAACTTCTGGTGACCAGGTGCCCAATCCTCTACCACTTTTGTCCAACCTGCTAGGCGGAGATGACCTGTATAGACTTAGGGTCATCTAAGCCAATCAAGATTCATTTCATAGATGGAAATTCGTCTAGGAAGGCTCAAGGTGTACTCATTTCATTTATAATTACTAAGAGCAGAAGAAAGTAGAATGGAATCCTGTGAATAATATTATATTGTTAAGGCCTCTTCTCTATTGCTTGATAATGTCTAAAAGATTTGAAAGCACTTCAATATATATATTCCACATCTGAGTGTTTGTGGACTACTTCTATCTTATATACAAATTATGTGCTACTTTATTATAATTCACAACCTTAGATGTTCTTCCAAAAGTGCAAACACATGGTAATCCCAAAAAGTATCGCACTTTCTTTACTAATTACTATTTCATTTCTCTGGAAGCTTCACTACTTCCAATAGTAATTATCCAATAGTCAGAATTTGCAAACTGAGATCTAGTTCTCAATTTGTATTATATTTGCTCCAATAGTCCTTTCCATCAACGAAATGCTCAGTTTCATCTTGAGTCTGCATTTGCAGGAGTAGTCGTATATACAATCTTTCTAGAATGCCAACTTCAAATCCCGATAACTTCTGAACCAACCAATAAATTTCTTCTAAGTAACTTCCGACTGATTTGCGGGATGCCATTCTATCTGATTGATAGATAATCCCTTGGTTGGCAACTCTTAGTTGTTCTAGATGATAGAGCTTTGGTCATTGTACTGTGTTGTTAATAATTCTGTCAGCCTTAACACATCTCTTGGCCTATTTATAACAGTTCCTGAAGTTCATTGACTTCCTTAATAGTATTTTCTGGGACTTCTAAGCTCTTCTAATAATTGTAGGGTGAATGTGAATGTATTGAAACTTTCTATAGAACCTTAAACATTCAATATCATACCTTTGCTTGGAAACATCCCATTACTTACAATCTATATCAAAAATGATCCATTTTTACAGCGAACTAACTATCTGAATAGTAGATAGATCTGCTTTATTCCACTTCTCAGACCTTGCCGAAGGTCCCCAATAATATATCCTGTGAACAGGATCCTGTCAGATAAATAGTAGTAATATATATAGCGTTATTCTGACATCTTCAATTCTGTAGCATTATCATTACATGAGGTAACTAAGGTAGATATGTGTGATGATGTGCAAGCTCTATAAGAGGCCCAGAGAAGGGTGTTGGAGAACAGATATTCTAATTTCGAGCTGGATTACTCTACTTAGCATGGTTCCTAGATATCGGATCTTGATATTCCTAATACAATCATACTCCTCCAAGGCAGGATGCTAGAAGGGATATGCTGCTGGTCAAGTACTTTCTGAGTATAAGTAGCAGAATTAATAGTAACCTTATTTGGAATGAATACCAAATCTGACTTCTTTCTACCACAAAATGTCCCCTATACTATAATACTATCTCTTTCTGACCTCTACCAATCATCGATACAATCTGCGTAGTATTTTTCAGCTGTATTTCAGTTAGGTGGAGACTATTCAATAGACTTCAGAGTTGTCTAGGCCAACCAAGATTCATTTCTGTAGATGGAGATAGTCTAGGAAAGCTCAGATTATACTTATTTCATTTATGACTACTAAGAGTGAAGTAAATTAGATAAAGTAGGATAGAATCGTAAAAACAATATTATATTATTAAGGTATTTACTCTGTTGCTTTATGTTGTCTAAAAGCTTGAGAGGTGCTACAATATTTATATTTCATGTCTGAGTAATTGTGGACTACATTTATCTATTATACAACTCTGCACCTGTCACGAACGTGGCTTGGCATGAAAGATGTTTCCACATGACACATGGTTATGAGTCACAGGTATGTTATTGTTTTACACATATGACTCATTCGGGTCATATGATTTGTTATGTGTGGGATTTGTGATGCTTTCGCACATGGTTCAAATATGAGTCATGGGACGTGTGCCTGGCGAGTATGCCTTGCGAGTATGCCTTACGGGTAAGCCTTGCACATATGATTTATGTTTCACACATGATCTCATTATGAGGTCATGGGTTTCGCGCATATGACTCAGTCGAGTCATATGACTTGTTTATTGTGTTATGATTGGTTTTTGAGTTTTTGTATATGACCTCGTTATGAGGTCATAGGTTTTGAGCATGTGATCACTTTGGTCACATGACTAGTTTGTTATGATTTGGTTTTGCACATGTGACCATTTTAGGTCACATGATTATGGGTGGGAAGAACACTATATAAGGAGGCTGATGAGGCCGAGGAAGATAGGTTCTTCACACTTTGTTCTAAGTACTTTTCCTTGTCCTTTCACCCCATGTCGGAACGTGAAGGTTCGGTGTCGATCCAATCAGAGCCCTTGATTTCTATCTCACGATAGGCTTCAAGTCTTTAACTTTGATCACCTTTTGGGGGCATCGTTGTTAATCCCTCCCCTACGGTTGCTGGAAGTTCTTTCTTCTTTCTACCTATCTTTACGTTTGTTTGTTTACGTCACCTCCTCACGGTTGCAATGGCTAAGCGAGCCTCTGTCCCTTCTGCCACGTCCGCTTTACGTTCGTTGGTGGTTCTATCTCATGCCGTTGAGAAGAACTTCGCCCTGGAGGCTGAAGTCTCTCACCTTCGGCATCACATCTCCGTCCTTTCTCAGCGATTTCATCGCGCTGAAAAGGAGATATCTACCTTGTCGGCTACCCTGACCTCTGAACGCGATACTGTTCGCGGTTTGGTCACGATTTTGGCGGCTGAAGCTCCTACGGTTATCCCCTCTTCACCCGTCCCCTCTGTCGTTTTGGTTGCTATGCTGATCTTGGTTGGGGGGGGTGCGCTAGATGCTGAGGGTTCTCAGGGTCATGTGGAGGAGCTCCCTCGGGAGAATGTTGTGCCGGCGGTTATCCCTGGCCCCCCTGCAGCTATGGTTGTGGATGGTGGGGTGGGTGGTCCTGTTCCTGATTTGTCAGGATTGGAGGAGGCGCTTGCTCCTGGTATGGGTAGGGTGGATCTTGGTGTGGTGACACCAGCTGCGGTGGTATCACCCCCTTTGGGGGGGCAGGTGCCTGAGTCCTCTGTGGCTGAGCCCGTTGCCTGTCAGGGAAGCGCCTCTAGTGGCATCCCTCCTGTGGTGGTGGGTGGCGATGAGGGTGGCCCGTCCACTCCTGTTGCTAGACCTACGCCCGTGGGTGGGAAGAGGAAGAGAAACAAGAAGTGCCGGGTCAAGCAAGATCAGACCTCACCTGTGCCACTTGTTCCCGACTTGGAAGTGTCATCGCCTTTGCCGGTTTGCTATTGCAAACCGGCTGCTACAGAGTCCGCGGTGGGTTCGCCACCCGCAGAGCGGGCCTGGGAGTTGGAGAATGAGTTGAATACTTAGGTATGTTCGGTCAAGTGCCGGCAGCTTGGGGACTCTCTTGTTCCGGCTGCTTCCGTCGAGGTTTTTGGACTGCGCTGCCAGTGTGGTGCACCCCGGATTCTCTATGATAGTTCGTACCCCCTCGGTTAGGGAGCCCTCGCCCTGTAAGTCGGCTTTCATGTTGGGTTTACGCACTTGGGTTTTGGGTGTTTCTTTTGTTTGTGATTGGGGAAGGGTGCTTGGCGGTTGGTGGAAATGTCCAGAGATCATTGAGTGGGGGCATTCAGGAGGGTTTCTCCTGTGGAGGAGGTTATCGCGAGGTCACATTTAGGTGGCAGTAGTGGAATTTTTGTATTTTGTACGGGTAACTTGGCTGGCATGCAGGCTGGGCTGAGGAGGATTTTCTTTACCCAGGATGGTTTTTGTACTTAGTGTTCGTGTTAGGGCATGGCGCGGGCATGTTTCAGGTATGAGGCTAGAGGTTTAGTTAGTTTGTAGTTAGTGGTATCCGGGATGCGACAACCTGGGGGCCCGGCCCTGGGACTTGTTGTATGCCAGTGTTGGTGGTATGAGTTTAAATAAAATTAGATTGAATTCTAAGTACTTTTCCTACATATTACTTTAACGAATATAAAACAACTTTACAATCTTTATCTTTATTGCAACGTTATTTTTACACTGAGGAGGGCTCTTCACAAAGAAGAGTTAGAGAAAGCTTACGTTACGGGTTTCCGATAGAAGACAAAGGTCTTGTACTATCCGTAATGTAGGCCGAGGCCTATCCCTATCGTAAGACGAAGGAACAAGAAGAAAGAGAGGAGAAGTATCGTTCCCCTCGCCAAGAACTAACCATCTGAGGAGGGATCGTTACATTACAAATCGTCACCTAGTGCGACGCCAAACGATACAAGACGGTATCCTTCAATCCAGACAGGGAAGCAGATATCGACATCGACA